GCAATGACTTTTTTAACTATGAAAGCAACTCCATTTTTCCTCACCTTTTCATCTCCAGAGTAATAATATATCATATGATCATCTGACTCAGAATGCCCCATGCCAGTCCATCTCATGTCACCAATGCCTAGTATGTCAATATTTATGCGTTCCAGTTCTTCCTTAACAAGATCTAATTTTCCTACGTTCCATTTCTTCCTTAACAAGATCTAATTTTCCTACATTCATGGTTCTCACATTCCATGTCCCAATCACTAGTGTTTGCTTACAACTATGTGTAGCAGTGGTAAAAGATTATTTGTTAAGTGTGTATACTACTACTGTTTATAGTAGTAAACAGTTACTGTTTATAAATGTGTATACTACTACTGTCTTAAAAGTGAAAGTAATGACAAGTACACAGTCTTGTTCATAACTATTTTTTCTTTAATTGTAGGATTTTATCGATCTGACGTTATCAAAGACTCAACGAAAGACACCAACTGTAATTCATAAACATTATCAAATTCATCGCATTAAACATTTTTACATGAGGAAAGTAAAATTTACTCAACAGAATTACCATGACAGACTGTCTCAGATTTTAACAGATTTCCCCAAATTGGATGTAAGTAACCCTGGATAAATTTTTAATGTGTATGTGTAAGTATGTATACTGCTGCAAATGTGGTTTTGCAAAACTTGCAAATAATTGCTTCTTAACTAATGCAGTCTACTCAGATGAGAGAACAAGAGGGAAACAAGGTAACTGACTTGCCAAAATAAATGGCCAAGCTGGCAACAGAATCCAGGTTTGTTTTGTAAGGTTTTTATTTGTTTTGTTTCTTGGTGTTTTTCCATTATCCCATCCAAACTCCATATAAGAAGGCCCAAAGGCTTTCTTTGTAACCTTCATAAATGAAGATCCAGCTCAAAATATTTGAAAACTGTGGACTCTAAATTTATAAGCTCAGAATCTCATTTTCTCACCAACCTTTAAGCTTCCATTCTCCTGAGCATCATCCCCTCTTTCCTCTTTCTGAGTCATCTTTTTTCCTGTGTCTCAACTTGTGTCAGCTTTCTTGTCACCTGCCAGTGTGTCTCCATTGTTTGTGATCTTACTGCCTGAGAATTGGTATTTGAGAAATATCATTGGTGTTTGATGTATTTTTATGATGGAGGCAAAGAGAAAAATACTATTAGAGCAGGATTTAACAGCAGTTAGACCAGGAGAATGGGAGGGAAGGAAAGCCAGTGCATGGACCTTGTCAAGAAGTATAACACAATAAGGAAATTTTCCATTTTTAGAAAAATAGAGAAAGAATAGCATGTTTGTAGGCTGATAGGAAGTCATGTAGAAGTGGAGAATTAAAAATGAAAAAGATGGTTTCTGGAAGTGAGTTTTTGAGTTAGTAAGGGAAGGTAACTTAGTGTGTGATTGGGGAGAAACAGATAAAGGTTTTTGGAGAGAAGATGGGATATAGTGCCTTAGAAAATTAATTCCTCAAATAGTTGCATTTAGAGATGAAGAACTGTTGGACTAAGATGACAACTTTTTTTCCCCCCTAGGATATCCATCCATTTTATGCTGATTTGATGAATATTCTCTATGACAAGGATCATTACAAGTTGGCTCTAGGACAGATAAACATTGCCAAAAGTTTAGTGGACAAGTAAGGAATTTTATTGCTATGGTATCTACAAGTAAGCCATTTTATTAACACAGTATCTGTTAAGTTACTGTGAAAAGTGAAAAAAATTCATTTAAAAATTTCTTTTAAAGTGTTGCTAAGGATTATGTCAGACTTATGAAATATGGAGATTCTCTCTACCGCTGCAAACAGCTGAAACGTGCTGCCCTGGGGCGAATGTGCACTATTATCAAAAGACAGAAACCCAACTTGGAATACTTGGAACAAGGTATTTGCAATAAATCTATAAGCAAAAAGTTTTTTTACTTTTACTATGTACGTATTTTTTTCTACGTTAAAGTAATTTACTATGGTGAAATATATGCAGCATGTTTTTTTAAATATCATTAATTTCAATGAACATTTACAGAGACTTTGGATTTCCAGTCATTCATTGTTGCACTTTCCTCCCCTCCCAACCCTCCCCATAGTACACTACCCTCTTGGAAAAATGAAAGAAAAATTCTTTCATTGTTTTACAAACCCTCCCCCAGTTCCACTCCACCATGTAGCCTTCGCTCTAGACTCCTGTCATGACAAAAATACCTAATCACATACCCCTTTTTAACAGTTTTCTCCCTCATCTGTTTCAATGCAGTATACATTGTTGAACCCATCTTCTTCAGTCTCTCCCCAACCCCAAGGTCAGTCCTGTTTTACAACAGTGGCACCATGCAGTGTTTGTCCTTTTGTGACTGAGATACTTCACACGGCATAATGTCCTCCAGAGTCTCCCATTTTGAATAATATTGCATGAGTTCCTTGTTTTTCAATGCAGCATAGTATTCCATTGTGTGAATATGCCACAGCTTCTCTATCCATTCGTTTGTTGATGGGTGCTTAGGTTGTTTCCAGCTCCTTGCTATTGTGAACAAAGCTGCAATAAACATGGGTGTGCATATATCTGCTTGGATGTCAGGTATGGTCTCTTCGGGGTATATTCCCAGTAGTGGAGTTGCTGGGTCAAATGGTATCTCTCTTTGCAACTTTTTGAGAAAGCGCCACACTGCCTTCCACAGTGGTTGCGTCATTTTATACTTCCACCAACAGTGAATAAGGGTTCCAGTTTCTCCACAACCTCACCAGCATTTGTTTCTTGCTGTTCTGTTAAATTTTGCAATTCTGACTAGGGTGAGATGGTATCTCATAATTGTTTTAATTTGCATCTCTCTTGGAGCTAGGGATTTTGAACATTTCTTTACATGCTTGTTAGCCATCTGAATGTCTTCTTCGGTGAAATGTCTGTTCATATACTGTGCCCATTTTTCTATTGGATTATTTACCTTTATCTTGTTGTGTATTTTAACCATTTTTAAATAAAATGTACAATGTTCTTCAATTCACTGAGACTGATTACATTCTCAGTGTTGAACAACTTTTAAAAGTTTATCATCCCAAACAGAAACTCTGTTCCCATTAAGCAACAACACATCATTCTCCCCTTGGCCTCTAACTTCCTAATTTTGCTTTCTGTCTCTCTAAATACACTTACTCTAGATTTTGCAAAGTAGAATCAAAGTATTTTTTCCTTTCATGTCTTTCTTATTTCACTTATTGTTTTCAGAGTTCATTCATGTAGCATGCAGTAGAACTTTTTTCCTCATGATGACTGAAAGATACATCATTTTATCTGTGTACAACAGTCCTAATCCCTGCTCTATCCTGTGCCAGTTATATTGTCTGCGACACACCGCCCCCATTACCCCAGTCACAATCAATCCGTCTCATCTCAGGTCTTCCTCTCCTGCACTGTCCCTCCACCCTCCCAAGCATGACATCCCTTTCCAAGGACTGGTCCCTCCATCCAAAGTATGTCAGATGAAGCTTGAGAATCCTTGCCTCCAAGGAGCAGCCTGATCTAACTCTATGCAGTATGAACCTGTTCTTTCTCTTAGCAGTCCATGGTATAGTTATGAAGATAGGACACATCCCTTGAGTACACGCTTCCCAATTTTGAACCATGCAGTGTTCCCTTGCTCAGTTTTGATGACTGCCTCCTGGTCCAAGTATTCCTTTCACATAAGCACAATCAAGTGTTCTGGGATTCTCATTCTTCTCAGAGTTAGCCAGTTTGTTGTGGTACACACAGTTAAATGCCTTTGTCAGTGAAACACACTACGTTTTATTTTTCTGTTCCTGGATTTATACCTTTTGGCAAATGCTTAAGGCTGTGAATTTTTATATACATCTCTCTATTTTTTATTGTTTTGTGTATAGAACTAGGAGTGAGAGAACTTTCAAAAAGTTTGTTTTTGTTATTTGTTGTGTTATATATTAGTTTAGATGGATGAGATGACAGTCAATTTTTTCCACCATTTATATTCTGGTAGGCGAATTGTTTTTATTGAACAAATTGCTGTCATTTCTCATGCTGACAACTTAATATCACTAATATAAAATACTTTCTCATATTTATGAGTTCTTATGGAGATTGAATTCTTGGGAAGAGAGTGTCAGGGTTATATTCTTTCTTCATACCTACTCAGTTTGTATGTTCAGCAAATTATTCGAGAAGCTGGACTCTCTGAGGAGGATTGTGGCATCAGAATTGGAGGGAGATTCGTCAATAATCTGAGTTATGTAAATGATACAACCTTGCTAAAAATGAGGAGAGCTTGAAGCACTTGTTGCAGAGGAACAAGAAATGCAGCCTTGGGTATGGATTGCATATCAGTATAAGGAAAACAAAGATTCTTACCATTGGACCTATAGGCAGCATCATGATTGGTGGAGAGGAGATTGAAACCGTCGACAGCTTCATGTTGCTAATTACCAGCATTAAGGAAATAAAGAGACACATTGTACTGCAGTTAGGGATCTTTCCAAATTATTGAGTGATGTCAGTTTGAAGACCAAGTAAAGTGCACCAGATTCAGACCATAGTCTTTCTAGTTACTAGCTATGCATCCAAGAGCAGGTCAGTGAATAAGGATGACAGAAAAAGACTTGACGTCTTTGAGTTGTGTTGGAGCAGAGCATGACCAGCTCTTTGGAGACAAGAATGATGAGGCTTTGCCTCATGTACTTTAGGCATGTTGCTAGAAGGGACTCTTCCTTTGAGAAGGACATGATGCTGAGACGGTTAGAGGGTCAGTGAAGGAGAGGAAGGCCCTCAATCATGTGGATTGATATGTTGACTATTGCAGTGTGCTTTTTTGTGTTAGGAAGTGTGAAGATGGTGCAGGGTTCAGATCTTTTGTTGATAGGGTTGCTATCTCTTCTCAATGGCACATAACATCCAGAAGTTGTTGTAGATGGTATAAATATTGAGAAAAATGCCAGAATGTATGGAAATGATTTGTAGCTCAACCTACAACTGATTTTATTTTCTCTTAATAATGTTTTGGTAATGTGTTAGGATCAAACTACTTCTCCAACTTTGTTACCTGATATTTTTTACTTAATAGGACACTTTCTAAATTAAAGTGTTCGCATTGTTTAGCAATAAAAGATAAATGTGATTACAAACTGGGCAAAGGACTTGAGTAGCTATTTATTGAAAGAAGAGCCGATGAAAAGGTGCTGCATTAAATTGGCTAGGGAAATGGAAGTAAAAACTAAAATGATACCACTTTATATCCACTATTGTAAAAATCCCCAAACTAAGCCTACTACCATTTGATTGTTTTTCATGGGGACCCTCTATCTAGAAATCTCTTTGAGAGGATACTTTCTCATTTTTCTCCCTACTATAAGCTGGTAGACTCTAATTGTTTATCTTTTAGTTAACAACCCAACATTTAATTCACTATGCCATTTCTTCTTGTTGTGTTGTTGTTGATTGTCATCGAGTTGAGCATGACTCATAGCGGCCCTGTGAACAAAAGCCCTGAAGCCTTTTCTGTAACTATTGACATTTATTAAAGTTCATGGAGTTTCCAGAGATACGTTGTTTAGGAACTGGATGCCACTCCTGCTTCCAAACCCTTCTTAAACTCAGGAGCTCCAGCAGTCACTGTACACCATGGGTAACCATTAGGGCATTTGACACCCTAATGGCACAAGGTTTAGCATCACAGCAACCCCTGATTTCCTCAGTACAGCGTATCGACAGAAGAGCACTGTACCACTTAGAAAAATGTTCCTCCAACATATAACAGCAGCCTACTTTATTTAAATATAAAGACCCTCCCCAAGGTCTTGTTAGGGCTCCTTTATCCACTAAAGTAACTTCTGAAAAATAAAGTGGTAATAACAAGTATTGGTGAGGATGGAAAGAAATCAGAACTCCAGCCATTGCTTGTGGGGATGCTGGTAGTGTAAAATGCTGCATCTGCTATATAATTGCAGCAATTCCTCAAAAATTTAGAGTTCCCAAGTAATCCCACATTTCCATTTTTATGTATACTTAGGTTTCAGAGCAAGAATTCAAAAACATTTATACATCAGTGTTGCTGGGAGAGGTATTCCTTTAAAGAGATAAGGAAGACCCCTAACATAGTGTATGTACACAGTGACTGCAGCAGTGGACTCTAAAGTGTATGAGAGATGTTGAAGATAGGACAAGATGCAGGTCTGTTCATTGGGTCACTATTAGTTGTTCTCAACTCTGGCACCTAAAAACAGCAGCATTACAGCATTTCAGAAAGCCTGCTTTTGACTTATAATGAAATATTGAAAGGGTAGAGACTAGGGAAAGAAGTTCTTGGTGGTACAGAGGTCAAAAGCTCAGTTGCTGGTCAAAAAGTGGGTGGTTTGAGGCTACAAGCAGTTCTATGAGAGAAAACCTTGCTATTGACAATCTATCCCTGTAAAGATTTCATATCAGGAGACTCAAGACTTGAGTCAGAATCAGGTCATTGGACACAATAGTAATTAAGGCCTAAAGAGTGTGATTCTTGGTATAGCATTTGGGAAGCACTATTGTGGAGGGTTGGGAAGGAGAGGAAGACCCTCACCCATGTGGATTGACAATGATAACTGCTGAAATGGGCGCTTATGTGTGAGGATGGTGCATGATAGATCAGGGTTCACATCTTTGGTTCATAGGGTTGCTATGAGTCATACTCAATTCAGTGGCACCTAACAACAACATTTTATGTACCATGTTGACTCTGTTTTCATTAGTTTATATTTTCTCTGTCACTTTTACATTAAAGGAGTAAGTAGATGTGACTGGGCCTGAGTGTAATTATTTCAAGAGAAAAATTTCAAACAGTTCTTAAAACTTTTGAGTCCCTTAAGTTTTCTTAGAAAATGAAACACATTTGATTTCCTCTGTTCATAGTTCGTCAACATTTAGCCCGTTTGCCAGCCATTGATCCAAACACCAGAACTCTGCTTTTGTGTGGATACCCAAATGTCGGAAAATCCAGCTTCATCAATAAGGTTGGTTTTGCTTTGTCTGTTTTAAATATAAAGTTAGTAATCATAATTTTTTAAGTGAAAGTGCTAAGTATGCTAAGATTTAGGGTAGGTACTTGATGTGGAGAAGTTGGAGCTCTACCCATTAATATTTAAGTGATGGGGCATTATGGCAAAGCTCGAGAACCCTATTAAGAGTAGGTACAATATTTCAAATATGAGCTTAAAACTAGCCACAGTATGTTGTTGAGTACCTTCAAGTTGAGCACAACTCAGACCCTATGAATAAAAGGCCTAAAGACCTTCTGCAGCTATGGACATTTATCAAAATTCATAGAGTTTCCAGAGGCATATTATTTTGGAAGTGGATGACACTAAAGGTATGCTTTGTCAGGGAGCTCTGGTGGCCTAGTGGCAAGAAGCTGCACTGCAATCCCAGAGGCATGTGTTTCAAATCCACCAGATGCTCTGCTGGAGGAGGAGGGACAATCTCCTCCTGTACCAGTCAGATCTGATTTGACGGTACATATACACAAAATAATAATAATTTTTAAAAAACTTGCTTTGTCAAAGAGTGATCATGACAGTCACAAGCAAAATCTGGAGTTTCAGGTTTTTTGTTGTTTTTGTTGTTATTTATATACAATCATTCACATACATTGTATTCCATTCATCCATAATGTGTTTTATACACTCAGTCATATATATTCGATTAGTATATATTTTTATTATTAATCTATGCCTATTACCACCCCATCTCAAGTCTCCATTGAATATTTCCTATTCCTTCACTCTCTTCATCTATCCACTAAGCTCTGCTATCCTAGATTTTCTTCGTTCCCCTTTTCCCCTACCTCTTTTATTCATGTCTTGCTCAGTTATCCTCCTATTGTCACAAAAGTTGCCTTATGCAGTATTTTGACCTTATGTAGCTAAGTTATTTTACTCAACATAATGTTCTCTAGAGGAGTGTCAAATATTTTTAAGTACACTTTCAAAATAATGTTTACACATAATGTGAACCTATCACGACGAGGTAAGGCTATGTAATCTAATATGGTAGTCTCTCTGGTTAGTGTTCCTTTTTAAATATGCATCAATGAAAATGAAACAAATTAGCTACTAATCACATAACAAGAAGTATTAAAAACAAATGTCTAGTATCAAGAAAAACACTCCATCTTAGAAAATTCTGTTGAATATTGCTCGGCTCTAATGGCTTATGAATTGGGAGAGAAGAATTTTTGAGCTTCTGTTAAATAATTGATATCTTCCAGATGTTCTTTTTTAGTCTCTCTATCCTATGATTCATGCTCTGTCTCTATGGGAAAGGTGTTGGAAGCAGAGCTAGTCTACTTAACAAAAGTTTGGTAACACACATTCTGTGCAGTTTAATCCTCTGAGACCACTTTTGTGTGTTTTCTACTAAGACAAAAATTAAGTCTGTAGTGTTTGAGAGTAAAAAAGGTACTAAAATAAGGTATATAACTTATTCTTGAGGGGGAAGAGAAAAATATTTTTAAGATAAACCCCTTTTAATTGAAAGTGTGAATTGTTTTGTTTTAAGGTGACAAGAGCTGATGTGGATGTTCAGCCTTATGCCTTTACAACTAAATCTTTGTTTGTTGGGCATATGGATTATAAGTATCTTCGCTGGCAGGTAAGAGTTCTTATCATTAAAGGTAGAGTGGGTATCTTTTTTTCTATTTTTGCATTACTGAACTTTAATATCAATTTTTAAAAATTGTTAAGAGACTGTCAACTATGACTCTTAAAAGACGCAATTTAGCAACAGAAACAAACTTTTTTCCTGTCTTGTACATCCTCCTGATTTGTGATATGCGCCAGCTCATTGTTAAACCATTGTGCCAGTCTATCTTGTTGAAGGTCTTCCTTTCTCTTACATTTCACTTTAATCAACATTATGTATTTTTCTAAAACTGGTCCCTCCTGACTAATTGTCCTACAGAAGCTCACCATCCTTGTGTGTGAGCAGCACCCTCCAAACAAATTTGTTTTGCTCTTTTGGAAGCCCATGGGATATGTAGTACTCTGATTCAACCCTACAATTCAAAGCCATTGATCTCCTTCTATTATCCTTATTCACTGCTCAACTTTAAGATGTGTAGGAAGTCATTGAAAATACCGAGGCTCCTTCTCCAGCAGAGAAAATACCAAGGCTTGGATCGCCTGATTGTGTACCTCAGTCTTTAAACTGACATTAATGCTCTGTAGCACTTTGGAGAGAACTTTAATAGCAGATTTTCCCAGTGCACAACCTCTTTGATTTCTTGACTGTTGATACAGTATGAAACTGGATGTCAGAACCCTTGAAAATTGGCTTTTCTAGCCATTGTGTTATGTGGGGATAATGGTCTCTAGCCACCTTAATGCGGTCTTAAAAACATCAACGGCTGTGGGACCAATATAAGAGAGAACACTTTCTACTCTGTGAGATACCCCAGTGATGATGGTGATGGAGAGATTGTGAAGGGACTGTGGCAAGGTGTAACTAGAGGAAAGGCTGATTTTTAACTATTCTGAGATAAAGACCACAGTTAAAGGTTTTGCTTACTGGATAATTAGAGGGAAAACTGCTTTATAAATGTTTGGGTGATTGAAGAAACCAGAGATTTCTTGTATTAGTGCTGCTGAGCTGAACCTAGACTTTTCACTAATTAGAGAATTGTGCCTTGTTAATCTGGCTTGAGACTGCTGGATGAAATCTGAATTTGCATAGGGTGATGTTCTATGTCTCCCCCCCCACTCTCCAGTTTATTTCCTTAATCCCTACAACTGTGAGTAGGCAAGTCTGTGAGTCAGCAATGACTATTGGACCCGAATGACTGATAGAGTATACGTATAGGAGCATGTGGGAGGGGGGAGATGCATTCCTGACCAAGCAAGCAGCTGTTTGCTGCTATGGATATTGATGGGGACAGTTCCACTTTATGAAGCAGGTAGAAGTCAGACTCAACCATTATCACGTTGTATCGGCTCCTTAAACAGAAATCATTTAGAATTTCACTCTTTTCTCCATTTGTCATGATGTTGCTTATTGGTCCACTGTTGAGAATTTTTACTTTCTTAATATTCAGATGAAATCCATATTGAAAGCTTTGATCTTTAGCAATTATTTCAAATCTTCCTCACTCAGCACTTTTCACTTCTGTCATCTATATAACTTGGATTTTTGATGAATCTTCCTCCAAGCCTGATATCACAGTCTTCTTCATGGACTCTAGCCTCTCAAAATTTATTTGCTCAGCTTATAAGATTGAATAGGTGTGGAAAGGATATAACAATGATTCACACTTCACCTGATTTTAAGCCATGCAGTGGCCCCTAATTCTGTTCAGACAGTAACATCTTAGGCTATATTATTTCACATGAGCATAATTAAGTGCACTGGGATTTTCATTCTTCTCAAGGTTAGCGGAAATGTATTTTTATCCACAATGCCTTTGGTATTGCCATCTTCAGGCCGGGTACATCTGACCTCATTACACAGTCTCTTCTGAATCTAGCTTGAATTTCTGGCACTTTTTAAAGAATCTTCAGCAAGATTTTACTTAGATGTGACAGTATTAGGTAATTTCCACATTCTTTAGCCTCATATTTCTTTGTTGTTGTTCTTTTTTTTTTTTTTTAAATAGGAACAATTATTGATCTAGTCAGTAGACCAGGTTTCTTGACAAATGCTAAGCACGTCCAGGGCTGTATGTTTGTCAGAACATGTCAGTTGATATTTTATCAATACCTGGAGCCCAGTTCATCTTGAACTATTTCTTTTATTGCCATTTGTTTTTTTTTTTTTCCAATTTTATTGTTTTTGTGTGTGTACCGTCAAATCGGATATTACTGGTACAGGAAGAAATCGTCCCTCCTTCTCCAGCAGAGCATCTGGTGGATTTGAACTGTGCACTTCTGGAATTGCAGTGCAGCTTCCTGCCACTAGGTCACCAGAGCTCCCTGCCATTGGTTCTTGGTCATGTGCACTTCCTGGGATTGTTCCGTGTTGATCAGTTCTTATAGGTACATTCATCCTGTGTATTCCATATTTTGATGCTTCCTGTATCATTCAAGATTTTTTTTCTTTCAGCTTGAAAAAAAGCTGAGCATATTTTTTCCTTTTCTAACTCTAGCTCTTGGTAAATTTTGTTAAAATTTTTTTATTGTTTTCTCAATCTCAACCTTTTAAAGAGATCACTCTAATTTTTTTTTATTGACGTATTATCTTTGCTTTTTATTTTTTTTATTAAATTTTATTAGTTTTAATGAACATTT